CTTTCACTAACCTTTCACTTCCTTGCACCACATAAACGCGATTTGCACTGTTCACACGACATTATGTTACGCACTAAACAGACTCATACATATACATACTATCGCTTCATACAAAATCATTTTGATTTACATACTCCATCAAGACAACCACACCATCGTTTTCAGTTTCTTAACTCGAAGTACACTTCACTATTTTTTCTTAATTTCACTTATTGCATCAAGGATACTAACCTCCACGGCATCCTCCGCAATTATGACCCAGTAACACAAATGTATATATTTTGTCCCATCACGAAGACCTTTAACGCCAAAGAATCCAGACCCTTCCTTATCCCACATGAATTTATCCAACCTATAGAAATCCCAATATTAGAATTCATTCACAATACTAAATATTATCACAAAATATATAACCTCATTCAAAACACACCTTATGAGTTTGCAGTAGGCACCGAAGAACTAAAAACCATTAAAGCACTTCAATTGCTTTGGCCACTGCTCCAAACTAAAAACATCATTCGCATACTAGCAAAATTACTAACAACATCGGACATGATACACGACATCTTCCCCCACGGCTTTTTCCAGACGATTAACAGGTAAGTATAATTTAAAAATATTTTTCACTAATAAATTTAAGTTAGTACTAACCATTCTTTATTCATGTTTCTTTTACATTTCTAGTCTCCAGACCACGATCATCTGCAAAAAACGGAAAAGAAAAATAAAAAATAAACTTGTTAAAATTCTTCTAAGCTTCATTAATATTTTGCACAAAATAATACAATATAATTCATACCAAATGTAGTAAATTAATTTATAAATTGTTTCCACATGAAGCAGTAAATTTAATTACGATGAAACTTTATAACTTTAAATCTTCCCAAAAAATCAGTAAATTTGAAATTCTATGTAATAAATTGATAAAAATGATAAAACCCAACATAAAACGTTATCACATAACAGGACCTCTCAAAGAAACAGCACGAAATCATACTCCCACTCCTGGCCTAACCCACCAGAGAGGACGTCCTGAGCATGCTCTATAGCCGGTCTAACCCACCGCGCTACATCCATGCTTTCTGACCACACTTCTATTTTTAATAAGAGGTACTCAAGGGTGAGTATTTCTTCAAAATAACCGAACTATTTTGTGAAAACAACTAACTAAATTCATGATTAAAAACCGAACTAAAATTTTTTTATAAAATGTAAATTATACCTTGCAGTATATAGATCAACACACAACAACAAAGACGAACATCCAAAGACAAAAGGATTCCATCACACTTGAACAGGAATGGCTAACCACAACCGATATGCCGTCCACAATCACAACTCAAAGGATTTAGAGTACGACTTGACTTCGCAGAAAAGGACTTCATTGAACTAGACCAATGACCACCTCGATGTTCAAGTATACGTACAGATCAGAGTTACGAGGCATCCCTTCCACACACGATCTCCACGCCATTCCCAGACGAGGTTGAACACAAAACAAGTTCTCTACATAATACAGAAAAACCCGTCATAGCAAACCATTTTGAAATCAGATTGATTTCATTGGGGAACACAGTCGTTGTCACAAGACGACACAACGATTGATGTTCCTAACTCCGGCGTCCTGGAACTTCTTTAACAAGAGGAACCGGACAAGAATATGATGTTCGCCAAATACCAACGTTCATCATCCATCCTTTGAATTGCCGAAAGATAATTCTAAAAACTCTGTAAAACCCGGATGGGTGGAACCTGATCTAAACTATATTTTATGATTGGATAAATTGGATATTTTACCACTGTAAAGTATTTAATATTAACCAATCATAATCCATCTAACTAACAACCCACTTATCTGTAAGTGCTGAAATTACTTGTAATTTCAGCACCAGAGAGATTTGAATTTAACTTAGAAATTAGTTGTCTCTCCAAGAGAACTTCAGCAGCCGCAATAAACCAGTATATCCTAGATCTATTGAGCCTAGCAGAGACTAGTTAAACACCCTGAGACTAGAAAGTATAAGAGTAAGATTAGGATCGGTATTAGACTAAGAAGTTGCACGAATCTATCCGGCCGAAAATAAGATAGAGTGACGAGCAGACGGTGTACCCTATCCGAAATTACTCTATGAGTTAACCACATCGGTTATAACTCAATTTTTTGAATTGATCAGATCTACCAGATCTTCAATTTTTTGTATAGTCGTCACCCAATGCCCGCTTGCTTCTCTGCTTTTTCCATCTTGATCATCAATTCATAGGCCATCACAGCGTCGTTTTTCATCATAGACTTAATGACTTGGGTTGAGATCTGCTCAGGGACTATTGAAATGTTGTGCGTGTAATGTCGAGAGCGGGAGGCAAAACGTTTCTGCAATTGATGTTCAGTTTTCCCGTAGGTCAGTTAGAACACTAGCCGTACCGTTCTTAAGCTGCGCATTCGGCTAATACGGACACTTCTACATCATCAATCAACCTAAAAAAGTGTGGTTTTCAGTTCACACGCTTAACGACCCGCGCGACCCAAGTTGAATTTGGTTCATCCGCGCAAACAAGTTCGTGCCTAATGGTTACCGAGCATTTTATCTCTGGGCTACAATTGACCCGGATATTCTGTTGAGACTATGATACCAACTCTGCTGCTCCTTCTTCAGTTGTGCAGAAACTTGTGATCCATTTGGCGCACCTCACGAAGTTGGAGCATGAAATTGAATGATACGCTGTTGACAGCGCGTCTCTAACATAATTTTATTTTGAAATAAATTTGTCACATGAATTTTGAGGGCTTCCTGTCCTTATGCCCGTGCACAGTATTAAGCGGAAGCAATTTGCCAGCAAAGGTCAAATGCGTACGTCCCTGCGATCGATAAGCGAGATAAGTCGCATGCTTCTCCCGAAAATTTTTCTAAAACAGGATATCTAGTGTGGTTGGGATTGACTAGTGTTAGGGGCTACTACCCAGGGGCACTCTAAACTTCACATAATTACAAAAAAAAACAAAATCAAACGATCCACTTTTCTTAGGATCGGCTCCGGAAAGTACAACCAAGCCGCTCGTCAAGCTCGTTCCGTTTCTCACTATTTTGGAGGCTGAGAAAGTTGGTGATACAAAGCATAAAAGTGAAGTGCCAACGCCTAACGCACGCTTTAGAAAGTATAGGTTCAACATTTGCAAGGCTGCTGTAGCATTAATAGTAGTTGCATACAACCCTCCTTTACCCTGGGTTGACCCTGGGTTGACCCTCCTTAAACAGGGGCACAACAGCGGTTCGCCGTGATGAACTGTACAGCTCTTGTGTTGGTCCTTTCCCCCGTGGATAAAATGTTCTTAAACAAAACGAAAAAGGTTATCTTACAGTTCCATACATCAAACGTATGGAAAAATGCTAGTCATAAAGTTTTCATACAGTTTCAAAAAATAATTGAAAAAAGATTCGAACTAGTTTTTGCGGCTATTTGAACCAAATAAAACAGTTTGCTGATGAAAAAAAAACGATGCCTTTTTTGGAAAAAATTGGTTATCATACAATTCCTAAACATAAAAATTGTATGACAAGCATTTTTTCGCTGGCGACAACAACAGTTTTTCCCAGTGAAACTGAAATCGCCCCAAATTTTTTTCTTGTTTTTTTTTCAACCGCAAATCAAATTTTGTTCTCAAACAATCATTTTCCAAAAAAATGTTGCATGTAATTTTTAACTTTTTGTCTGCATAACGTAGTCCTGGATTCACAAACTTTTTTTCCGTTTCTCTGGATAACTTTTTTCAAATAGGCTATAAACTCCTATTTTTGTTAGGCATGAGTATATATGCCTTGATCAATGTCTGATAATTTGAAAACTCTAATTTTAAAAGAAACGATCTTTTAAAATTTTGCCAAAATTCAAAAGTTTGATGCTTCCAGTATATGATATATGAAAAAAAGTCTTTCACAACTCAGGTCATTTCCAATGCATTGTAAATGCCAGACGACCAACCTTTTAGTGGCTCTAATTTTGAGTAAACTATGGGTTTAGTCACTTGTGTTCCGTCACGAACAAATCCCAAAATTCTTAGAAAATTAAAAAAACCTACTTTTTTTCTTATGAAAAAATACTTGTCCTACAATCTACAATTATGAAAAAAATGCTTACATTTGAGTGTTCTTAATTTTTCTGTAGGTTTGGAATTGTACGAAACTATCAAAAATGTACGACAAGCAACTTTGGTCAACCTGGGAATGTTTTAACTATATTGGCTCGGGTTTGACACTCGAATGTTTCGTTACCTTTACAATCAAATAACAGACACACTTGATGGAGTATGAAAAGTAAACATTACCAAATGACAGTTGGAAAAGAGTAATGAACGCAAGGAAACTGAAAAAAATATATATATTTTTCAAAAACCTTCAGCTTTTGAGTTTTGAAGAACAAAGATGGCCTTAAAGCTTTTTGAATTTGTAGAAAACTTATGATGGACACTTGTTTGGTTAAAATTAACCCAATTTGAGAAAATTGGATCAATAAATGAAACTTTCATTTCGCTGGGAAATCTGATAAGTAATTTGCATTTTCGAAACTAGAAGTCAATCAGGTTTTTGTGACCTTTACAATTTTGCTGTTCGATAGTGGAATTTGCAGTCCTCTTAACAATCACAGTACCTATTGCCAAAAAATTTGGTGAATCCAACCGGTTTAACTCTGGATTTTAACCGATTCTTTCCTTCTCGTACCAATTAGCAAAAAAGTACATATGTCTATCGTTTTCTTTGTCTATTTTCACAAAGTGGTTCAAGCGGTATTTTTGTGGTAGTTTTGCGTGTCGTTATGACTGGATGAGTTATTATACTAAGACTAAGTAAGGTATGAAGAACAAGTTTTTTAGCACTCATTTGCTCCCCATGCAGAAAAAAATGTCTTTTTTCAAATGTTGAAATAATTTTTTCTAAAATTAAATTTGGAGCGTGTGTCTTGCTGATGGGATGGATGGCTGCAGAGAGCCGTAGAGGGCATTGAAATGAAATGGCAAAAATTTAATTAACACAGGAGAGCCTCATTAGAACATGAGAATTGAATCTTATTAAACTTATGTCAGCCCTATCCATATATATTTACAGAAACAATTGGTTTTTCTAGTTTCCCACTTATGACTACAGATCTTACATTTTACAACCACCTATTTACATGTTCAGTCAAGCGCGAACCCAGGAACCGGGGGGGGGGGCGGTTTTTAAAAAAAATCTTTGAAAATTTTGTCGACCTTTTTTTTAGGTTGACCAAATCGATTTTCTGAGCTTCTCCCAAACCACTATAAAGACCCTGTTTTGGCCAAAAATTAAGGTCAGTCAGCCAGAAATGAATATCTCAAAATAGTACAAAGGGGGACCTTTGGGTGGGCAGGGGGTCGAATCCGTGAAAAAAAGCGTCCGCCAATACCCGTACCCCCGCCCACCCCACATAAATCCGCTACTGTGTTCAGTCTTTTGATGCTCTTAACTGCCAGAAAGCGTTTGAACAAGCGCACATATGTTTACCACATTTTGTACCTAAAAGTTGCCGTGTATGAACCATTTTCAAACAACTTCAGTACACAATTTTACCAGGAAAATGGGAAACTGGAAAAGAGCCAAAAACAGTTTTAAATAAGAATAATCAAAGCTCCATTTTTTTGAGTAGATCTTCCGGAAGATCGAAGTCGCACTGATTCTTGTCCAGTTTGCACATCATGGGAATGGGACAATCTTGATTCCTCTCACACCTCTTGGGGAAGCAGCGCATCTTCGGATCCACCTCGAACATCTGCTCTCGCATACATTCGGCTATCGATGGACAATCAGCTGAACAAACCAGATTGTTATTCATCATAAAAAAAATAAATGATCGAGTTTGTGATAAAAAACAAAGCCAAAAACAGTTGCAGACGCGAAATGCATGCTAATTTAACTCTTTTCTGAAACTTACCTTCTGAAACTTACCATACCGAATTTTTGTAAGAAATGATAGTCCTTACATATCACAAATCGTAGAAGTTAGCTAAGAAACGCAAGTATCGGCAAAATCGAGCTCAAAAAATTCGGGCGCCAAAAATTTTTCTGAAACTTACCATCTGAAACCTCGTATCTTAATACATTGGGAAACCTATTCCCTATCTTAATACATAGGAAATCTATTCCCTATCTTAATACATAGGTTGGCGACCGGATAGTCTATAGCCTATCTTAATACATGGGGGTCGCCAGGCCCCCCTCCCCCCCCCCCCCTTGAACTGCCCTAACCTATACTACTCAAGAATTAAAAACCGAAAAACAATTTAGCCAAGAATGAAAAACCAAAAAAAAACTCTTCATTCAAGAATCAAAAACCGAAAAACACTTCAACCGAGAATGAAAAACCGAAAAACACTTCAGCCAAAATTTCAAAAACCGAAAAACACTTCAGCCAAGAATGAAAAACCAAAAAACATTTCAGCCAAGAATGAAAAAAAAAGCGAGGCTCTTTTCCAGTTCCCCCCTTTCAAAATACCGATTTTTCTGTTTGTTTTACGTGTTATTACGGCTAAATGCGTGATTTTACGCTGTAAAGTATGAAGAACAAATCTGTTCAGAATTGTCGATTTGTTAACCACGCCAAATTTCATTGCATTACGACAATGTTAAATAGACTTTTCAGTATTGAATTTGAAAGAGGGGAAACTGGAAAAGAGCCAAAAGCGAAAAACACTTAAGCCAAGAAGCAAAAACCGAAAAACACTTCAGCCAAGTATGAAACACCAAAAAACATTTCAACCAAGAATGAAAAATTGAAAAACGTTTCAGCCAAGAATGAAAAACCGAAAAAAAAACATTTCAGCCAAAATTTAAAAACCGAAAAACACTTCAGCCAAGAATGAAAAACCGAAAAACATTTCAACCAAGAATGAAAAAAAGCGAAAAACACTTCAGCCAAGATTTAACAACCGAAAAACACTTTAGCCAAGAATTAAAAACCGAAAAAAAATTTCAGCCGAGAATGAAAAACCGAAAAACACTTCAGCCAAGTATGAAACACCAAAAAACATTTCAACCAAGAATGAAAAATTGAAAAACGTTTCAGCCAAGAATGAAAAACCGAAAAACACTTCAGCCAAAATTTAAAAACCGAAAAACACTTCAGCCAAGAATGAAAAATTGAAAACACTTGAGTCAAAGATCAAAAACCGAAAAACACTTCAGTCAAGAATGAAAAACCGAAAAACATTTCAGCTTAAAGTAAAAAAAGCGAAAAACACTTCAGCCAAGATTTAACAACCAAAAAACACTTAAGCCAAGAATTAAAAACCGAAAAAAAAACACTTCATTCAAGAATCAAAAGCCGAAAAACACTTCAGCCAAGAATGAAAAACCGAAAAACATTTCAACCAAGAAAGAAAAAAAGCGAAAAACACTTCAGCTCAGATTTAACAACCGAAAAACACTTTAGCCAAGAATTAAAAACCGAAAAACAATTTAGCCAAGAATGAAAAACCAAAAAAAAACGCTCGAGTAGTATAGGTTGGGGCAGTTCAAGGGGGGGGGGCTGGCGACCCCCATGTATTAAGATAGGCTATAGACTATCCGGTCGCCAACCTATGTATCAAGATAGGGAATAGATTTCCAATGTATTAAGATAGGGAATAGGTTTCCCAATGTATTAAGATACGAGGTTTCAGATGGTAAGTTTCAGAAAAATTTTTGGCGCCCGAATTTCCCATGTAAAGATTTTCCTATGTCTAAGACATTCTTTGTAGGGAATTAGGAACTCATTAGGGAATAGGATTCCTAATGTATAACGATGGTAGATTTCAGATGGTAAGATGGTAAAGTTTCAGATGGTAAGTTTCAAAAAAAATTTGGCACCCGAGTTTTTTGGAAATCGATTTAGCCAATTTTCCAGATTGTAAAAGTTTTCCTAATCAAAAAACAACATACTCTGAACCCAAACGTAGCGTTTAGAAAGAGTTTTTTTAAAAAAAGGTTAATTACAGAGAAAATGTATTAGTTCACAGCATCTACAAATCTCTTACAAATTTAGAGGTTTAGTATGTATTCCATCACATTCAACTTCCCGTTTAGGGTGAAAATAGCTCAGTCCTGTTTTAGTTTGTTCATAAGTTGCAACTGCATGGTTAATCGTTTTAAATCCTCTATTCGTTGACTTCAAATTCACTGCCTCATCCAGTACTTGTCGATACTTTGCCATTGGTCCATCTCCAGAGTCTTCTAATGCATGTTTGTTCAGACCTTTACTGCTAAACTTATACTTTTGACTTTTACTATCGTAACAGCAAAAGGTTTTACTACACAGGCATAACATTTCGGTGCATCTGAACTCCTCTTTGAACAATCCTGGTTCTCTCTTGTCATGTTTCTTATGTTTAGAACAGCAAGTACGGGGGAAAAAGTTGTTTTTGCATCTGCTCTGAAATCGTCTCGACAGTCCTTGCTTCGCCTTTCAGTCCATTTGAGGAAATCTGTATCCATTTCGAGTTCTTCGAATTTGTTGACGTCGCAAAATTCATCGAAAAAGTTATAATACAACTCCAACATTCTCAACTTGGCATACTGTAGTATAAAAAATCCTACTATAATTGGTTCACGATGCTCTATAGTAGATTTAACAAGTTCCACTTCATACAAATCTTTCGCTACGATATTAAGTCTCATGAAGAATTGGTTATTGATAGCTTTGTGGGTTTTTTCGTCTCCAAGATATTTTGTCATTGTATGTTTTGATCTGTCCATTATTTGATAGCCGTAGGAACTGTTTCCTAGAAGTTTCATTGTTTCGGCTACTACGCCAAATAATGGATGTTCATCGCCGGCTCGCCTAGCATCAACAACAGACTGAACAAAACTGTTGAATACTTTATGCGGTGTGTATTGTACAAAACGATGAATTTTTGTACATTGTAGTCCTAGATCCAAATAAAAATTGAAAAGTGGTGTGATCAGTGTTCCGTTGGTCAATTTGAAGCTCGATATCAACATTCTTTGCGATTGTTTTAACAAATCGTTTTCTTCCGCATATGTCTTCATATATTCACCAATATCGTTTCTGAAAACATCAATATTTTTGAAAATAGTTGGGAAATTGGAAAATTTTGCTTTAAGCTCATCTGGAACACTCAGATCGCATTGCACATAGCCGAACATTTTTTCATTTCTAATAATTTGCACTAGTGAATTTGTAGAAAGAGATCTTTTGAAGGCAAAGTGAGTTCTAACGTGATTTTTCACGTCTACATTGTTTGATGTTCCTCGTTTGATGTCATCATCAGTTAGGCTCGGTCTAGCTTCTTGACGAGGACAAAAATGGAAATAACAACCCATTGCTTCAAAGACAGTCTTACAATGGTTGCAATAACCATCAACACTAAAGCAATCAATTTTTTTCTGTTTTCCTGTAGTGTAGTAACTCTCAATTTTACATTCAGTTCTGGTTGCTTGAAAGTATGACATGACCATATTTTCAAATGTTCGAACTCGATTTTGCCTTGCCTTGAATTTTTGTGTTTCTTCATCGTAGTCCCATCTCGTATACAAACCTGTGGACACATAGAATAAGGATAGAGTTGACTAGCATCAATCCCAACGATTGATTTACACAAATTTTTTGATTTTCGAATAAAGGTTTCATTTGCTACTGCTTTCCTTGTGAAAACAATTGAGGGACCACCGGTCGTATCTTCCCGTATTTTTTCAAGCAAGTCACTATCACTCGAAAAGAATGGGTAAAACTTATAGTCGGTTGATTTATGTAGACAGATGTTGGCTAGATTCGGTAGTGTGCAGCCGAGCTTTAACATATCTATCCCTTTGTCATGATAAAATTCAACCATTTTCTGCATAGCATCAAGGGTAGGAACAACATCTTTGTTGTTATACCACCGTAGAAAGTCGCGAAATATTGTCATCTTTTCCTGTTCCCAGATAGATTTAAGGTAGTTGTAGTTTTCCAATCCCGTAGTTGGTTTGGTTTTGAGATCGAGTTTTTTCAAGGCTTGCTCTTCAGTTATCCCAGTGTTAAGAAGTTTTTGATAATCATCAAACTCTTTATCGAGAGGGTTACTATTCTTCAGTTTGCTGTAGAAGTCATCATACGAGGGTAGTTGTTGTTCATCAAGCTTGTTCGGAGTATCAAACCACTCGTATGGAAAGTATCCTTTCAGCTCACTGGCTTTGTAAGCTTTTAGAAAAGAGTCTAAGGTAGTAGCTCCACCCAAAAACTTCATAATGTCCAGAAGCTGAACATCTCCAAAATTGAAGGAAACAAAGTCGTTTGCTTTCTTGATAACTGATGGTTCAATTTCTTTTTCCTTGATAAGGTAGGGAATGAGGTATAATTTAATGAGGTCTATATGATACCGACCACTGTTGAATCCAAATACTGGTAGAGTATTGGTGTATCTCTCTAGATGTTGCATCAAATCAATCAATTGATTTTTTTGAATCCTGAGAAAGTGAGTGGATGCGTCTGTTTCTTCCTCATTCTCGATACATTCATCTTCGTACTCTCTTGCTTCAATCTTGTTGAAACTAACTCGTTCATTAAGTATGCTGAAAATTGTGTGTAATCGCTTTTTGATGTTATTTTCAATTTCCAGAAACTTTGATCGCATTTCGGTTTTATTTTTTTCGGCTAACAACTCCAAATTTGCCACAAAGTCAATAATGAGGGATTGTGGATCTTTGTCACACAAAAAAATGGGTTCGTCAAGCAAATTGGATGAAATTGAAACTGTTGAATACTTTATGCGGTGTGTATTGTACAAAACGATGAATTTTTGTACATTGTAGTCCTAGATCCAAATAAAAATTGA